TGGATGAGCACTTAGTTATACTTGATTTATCACATGATTATTACTGTGGCATTTGACACATCATTACTTGGCATATTTCTGATTATTATATTGCTTTAATATTATCGAATTATTGTTTATATACCTGAGTAGTATGTTTTAAGGAAACTATACTTGTTTTATGGCGAGGGGTTAGTATTTTCAAAGTGAAAGGTTTTCTTATAAGCATTGTTTTGCTGACCCACTCAACTTTGTTTTTCGCCCCTCCAGGACCTAGATAACTGTACTCTTTGTGGCACTCGAGGAATCCCAGCAGTTCTGACATTTTCTTCTGTTTTAGACGTACGAACTTATCACTATTATGTAATAAGTGCACTTTGGTTGCTTTGACTACTCTTCTGTAGTCTTACTGTCTTTACGCTCTAAATAATTATAGTGGGTTCAACCCACGAATTGCGCACTTTATCACTGTTTAGTTCTAATTAGTTTTAATCTTATTCACTTTTTGCATCACTTACCCTTATGGTTACGTCACCTCAAGGTGATGGCCAGCATGCTTCGACCTTTCCAGGTCGGGGTGTGTCACAAATAAATATTATTTATTTATAACATATATGAAAATGTACGTACAAGCTGGAAAATTTATAATATCCGAATATAAAAGAAAAACTATCGAAAAGTTATTGTAAGGGCTCTCTAAAATTATCTTCAATAATGGTCTCTATTTTATAGTAAAATTTTAGCTAAAATTATCGGAAAGTTATTTTAGGAGCTAATAATTGGAAATATTTTTGCTTAACACGTTCAAGTGATGGTGATATTCACCACCCTATTTATCAACGTTTGATAAGTTTAAATTTCGACATCTGTGTACTAGATAAACACCACTTTCAAAATTTAACTCATCCAAAGATTATAAGTAGGGTGGTGAATACAAATATATGCGTTAATAATTAGCCAATAAAAATGAATTATTTATTTGAGATAATATTAAAACAGTAAGCATTAATTATGGAGAGCCACTAGGAGCTCCTTTTCCCCTCTTTATATTTAGGAGCTCCTAAATGAATCCTTATCTAAGGATGTGGATAAGGAGCATGATTAATTGAAGTTGATTTTTTTGGAATCTTTAGGAGTTTATTTACAGAACCCATTCTAGGTGCTCTTATGAAGTTTACTAGTTTATATAATGAAGTATTGGGTCATTAAGGATTTTCAAAACTTCATCTAGTGATATTTTTAATACTTGCAAATGAGAGGTCTTAGGGTTTACAGTTAGCGAGTTCGATACTAAGTTTTCGTTGTTGGTTGATTGGGTGAGATAGCTCTATCTTTCATATTTAAGTGTAAATATATTGTGTAATTTTTTTTTTTTTTTGTGAAAGCGGATATTTTAAAGTGCACGCAAACAAGGTACGTAATAGTTTGGAAGCATGTTCGACAAGGGATGGCATGAAACCATCCGGCTTTGGAGTATTTTGGTCTCCTGACTCAAAACACCGAACTCTCTGCTACTAAAATACCAAACTTTAATAATTTCTTCAGAAGGAAAAAAACAAAGAAAATTAAGGTTGACGTACGGTGATTGCTGGTGTTGCCATAACGAAAGATTAACTGATCCAAGGAATAAATTAATATGAAAATTGTCAGAAACCTTGTGATTTTCTGACTGTGGCTTTTAGTGGAGGGGTGCTTCAACACTCCCACTGCACCACTTGTACTACCAACTCCTCTCCTCTCCACAAACACCAAGAAAATAAGTTCTAGTGTTGGAAAATTGATAATAATAAAATTAAACAAGTCTTTTTTATTTCAACATTTGACAATAACAGCAATTCACTATTAAGATTTGTGAATATTCTTGTTTAACTAACTAGATGTATAATAAAATTTAAATATGGCACTTAATGTGTATTGAGTTGTTAACCTATAGATGATAGGTGATAGTTAGTAAATGAGCTAGTAGTGGTGGGAAGTGATGATGGTGCTGGTGGTGGCCATGACAACTGTAGGAGTGTGTTTAGGGCTATAAAAAATGTGGGTGGTAGTAAGGTGTTGGTGATTCTAAGGTGGTGGCGCCAATCCATGAGTGATGGTGGTGGAGGAATGGTGACTACGATGGTGGTGGTCATGTTCATGATGCTCAAAGTTAACTAAATAGGTTAAATCGTTGTGTTATGCATTTTACTAAAGTTTGATGGAAGGCTTATAAATTGAGGTTTGAGTTTAGTAAAGTTTGAGGGCGGGCTTATAAATTGATACAATCTTGTTAGAGATAAATGGTCGAAGTGAAGAATATGTTATTACTTGATGAGAAAAAGGGAAATAAAAAGCAACAAAGTCAAGTAAAATTGGATTACACTATATGGAGATTCTGACGCAGTGTATATGGACATGAATATTTCTTAGGTAAGCCATACTTTTTAACCACAAAATATAAAAGTCCCATTGCAAAATAAAATGTTAACCAAGGCTTGATTTAGATGTTCTTAATCTATGATAAAAATTCAAAACTTTTAAAATAAATACTTGAAGGAATGTATTTATAATATATATATATATATGGAAAGAAAAAAAATTAACATCTAGAGAGAATCTTCGACCGATCTTATTTTCAAACTTATCAAAAAGTAACATAATTATTACACAATGAGCAGGTGATGTTTTACCACAGTAATAGAAAGTAATAATGCCTGCACATCCTAATGCAAATTCAATTCGCAACGATCCTCCTACCTCCTAACTTTCAACAATTTAACTTATCAACGCTATAGTATGTAAAAAAAAAAAACTATTACATGAGAAAAATTATCAAAACAATTACAAGTTTTGTATAACATCCCACATCGTTCAGGGGAGTGGATCCTGTAAGTTTTAGGCCATCTCCAATCGAGGGCTGGCTAGAGGGCTCGTTTTAGCCATTTGGCTCTCCAAGATATTAATATTTTAATGAATAGTATATGGCCATATTTGCCTCCATCTCCAATTGAGGGCCAAAGGGCCAGAGGGCTCGTTTTAGCCCTGTCACAAAAAATCGTCTCCAACTGAGGGCCAAAGGGCCCTTGGGCCAAACATAATTTATTATTTAAAAACTACAACTTAAATGTTGTTTAAGTTTCATGTTGTTAAATGTTTTTTTTTTTTGTATAATTTTTATGTTGGTTAATGTTATTTAATGTTGTTTCATATTGTTTAATGTTGTTTCATGTTATTTAATTTAATTTAATGTTGTTTCATGGCTAAGGAAGTTATAGAAAAAAATATAATTAAAAAAATATGAAACAAATTGTGTGAAATAGAAGTTATAGGAAAAAAATAGAATTTAAAATAAAATGAATCAAAATTTTGTGAAATAGAAGTTATAGGAAAAAATGGAATTTAAAAAAATATATGAAAGAAATTTTGTAAAATAAAAGTTACACGAAAAAAATAGAATTTAAAAAAATATGAAAAATAGAAGTTATAGAAAAAATTTTGTAAATAAAAAATAATAATAAAACTGTAAAAAAAATTCAAAGCATTCCTGTCGGTTATAACCAACAGGATTTCCATTTTTTCTAGCCAGCCTTTTCCGATTCCGTGGGGCCTTCTCAGATTCCACAGCCCTTTGGCCTAGCCTTCAGTTGGAGACGATTTTCAGGCTATTTTCAGCCCTTTGGCCCTTTGAACCCCTCGGTTGGAGATGACCTTATATGTATATTCTCATCTCTACCTAGCACGAGGCCTTTTGAAAGCTCATTGGCTTCGGGTTCCATCAGAACTCTGAAGTTAAGCGAGTTCGCACGAGAGATGGGTGACCCACTGAGAAGTTCTCAAGTGAGTTCCCAGAAACAAAATCGTGAGGGCGTAGTCGAGGCCCAAAGCGGACAATATCGTGCTACGGCGGAGTTGAGCTCGGGATGTGGTGAGGGTCCGGGCGGGGATGTGACAATTTGGTATCAAAGCCAATCTCTGCCCGGATGTGTGCCGACGAAGACGTTGAGCCTCTACGGGAGGTGAATTGTAACATCCCACATCGCCTAGGGGAGTAGATCTTGTAAGCCTTATATGTATATTCTCATCTTTACCTAGCACGAGGCCTTTTGAGAGCTCACTAGCTTTGGGTTCCATCGGAACTCCGAAGTTAAGCGAGTTCGCGCGAGAGCAATCCCAAGATGGGTGACCCACTGGGAAGTTCTCGTGTGAGTTTCCGGAAACAAAATTGTGAGGGCGTGGTCGGGGCCTAAAGCGGACGATATCGTGCTATGACGGAGTCGAGCCTGGAATGTGATGGGGCCAGGACAGGATGTGACAAGTTTGGTTATGGGATGCGTATAATTAGCAAAACCATTAGCAACCATATTTACTTGTTTGAAAACATGTGATTAATCGTGTATCAAGGAATCTGTTCCGATAAATATCATAAATGATTAAACGGTTCTAAATTCGAGGGACAATTGGTAAACTAAACGGTAATTCTAGATTGGTCATTTTATATAGTTCACATAGTAAATTGGAGGAAAAATATATTTTAAAAAGTAAATTAACAATTAGTTAAAAGTTCAAGGGATAAACCACATCATATTTGTCGACTTGCAATCTGAACTAGTATAAGTTTGTCAATTTTTCTCTGAACTTTAATTTTAACCGATTAATCCCCTGAATTTTTATAATTAGCCAATTTTCTCCTTGAACTTTAATTTTAGCCAATTATCCTCTTGAATTTTATAAATAGCCAATTTTCCCATTGACGTTAGATTTAAAAAAAATTCATAAAATTTTCCATCTATTTTGATCACGTAGACAACACATGACAACTGTATAGAAGCAAAATGAATGAAAAATTAGATGGATGAAAATTGGATGAAAAATTTTAAAATCTAACATTACGGGGAAATTGGTTATTTATAAAATTTTAGATGAGTAATCGACTAAAGTAAAAATTGAGAGCTTTTTACAAATTTAGGAGAAAAACGGGGAAATATCTCAAATAATAATGAGAGGATGCAATGCATGTGAAAATGAAATGGAAGACAGAAAGAAGTTACCACTTCTACCTCATAGAAAAACAAAGAAAAAGCGAAAGAGCTGCGAAGCAGAGGAGCTTGTTTGTGTGCTTTTAGCTCAGAGAGAGAGAGAGAGAGAGAGAGAGAGATCCTTTCCACTGTGTTCTTCCCATATCCCTTTTATCCAAGCAAAGCCCACCTCAGTAATCTCTCTTCCTCTTCTCTCTGTTTCTTCTTTCTCCTGAACAGAGAGATTTTCACCCAGAAAATTAAAAACCCATTTAATTTTCAACCTCCATTTTTGGGGTTTGTGGGATTCAATTCATGAAACAACCATTGATTGCAGAGATATTGTAGAGAGAGATACTCACTGTACGCAGAGAGAGATACTCATTGTACGCAGAGAGAGAAAGAGATAAAGGTACTAGTTATCCATCTGCTGTGTTATTAGCTTCTTATTCTTCTCTTACTGTTAGTACCTTTGCTCCGTCAGATCTCATGTTTTTCTTCTTTGTGTAATTGCGTCGAACACATTACGATCATCTTGGTAATGGGTTTCTTTCTTCTGCACATTGGATCTGGTTTTTGACAGCACCCCATCTTTGTTTTCTGTTTTAATTTCCTATTATTGCACGGCGGTGATCGCACAGGATTTTTCACTTTTGCCAATTGCAAAATGCTTAATTTATCTCCTGGTTTTTCAAAAATTGGGGTTTTCTCGTTTTTTTTTAATTTTCTATTTTTTCTACAATGCTTGGTAAATCTTTTTGGCAAGATGGGTAATTTTGATCTGTCTTTCCTTTTCTTTTGTATGAATATGTAGCAGTCGGAGGCGTGCAATCAGCCTTCAACACTTAATCTTTCGGGTTTTTTTGGCTTCGTTTCGACGAAATTGAGGTGCATTTCTTGCCATGATTTTGTGCGTTTGTTTGTTTGTTTGATATGAGGTCATATAATGTAGCAATTTGATGATTGAGAATGGAAGCAGCAGCTGATTGGCAAGCAGTGGTTACGATAAATCATGCATAAAAAACATTTCTTAGGCTTCAAGAAATGATGAAATTATTGAATACTTTGCTTTTCTTGATTTCCATGGCTTGATTGATATTTGGTTGGCCATTCTGGCTCAGTGGGAAGTGAAAAGTAGAGGAAAGGTGGAGTTTGATGGAGTTAGGGCCCATTGCCATGTGAAAGACATAAAGGAGGTTTGACATGGAAAGTAGAAAGTGTCGGTAGTTGCCATCTTTCAAGTCGTTTATGTTTTCTGCGTTACTATCGATCCGAATTTGAGTCTCACCTTTTCTGTGTGTGATCCACGACATATTTTGTGCTTCCCCTGTTTAATATTTGAGTCATATGTTTCTTTTTTCATTTTTTTCGGTCAAGGTTTAAGATTGGTTGATAGGTTCTATTTAATTGAACATGTGTTTCTTTTAGTGGAGTTGGTTTGTAAATGTAGAAGAAGTCGCCTTTGAGGAACAAAATAAATCCCTTGTAGCTTGTGACGGGTCTGGTTTGAGTGCCTGATTACATGAATAAAATTGTGCGTGCTCTTTGCGGTGAATCGTGGTTGGTAGCAGATCAGTATTATTTTAAATCATATATCCCACAATCATGAAGATATCTAGCCTTGTATGTGTGCAGGTAGTTAATACTTTCTGAGATGATGAAACATAAAGATGGAAAACCGGGACCCCAAGGTACCAGGGTTTTCCCTACGACAATCTTGTTTGTTTTGCTATGCGGGCTTTCATTCTATCTTGGTGGAATCTTCTGCTCTGAGAAAAACAAAATTGAGCCTGTCAAGGTCGAAGATGTCACAAAGGCAGTTCAATCATCTCTCCATGTAAAACCTGTTACCTTTGCTGAATGCAGCAGTGACTATCAAGACTACACCCCGTGCACGGATCCAAGGGTAACTGCTTAATCATTTTTATGGTACTTTATCCTTTTTCGGAACTTACACACTGCTAGATGCTTATCAGATTGTGGCTACTTATTGTACAGAGGTGGAGAAAATATGGTGTTCATCGGCTTACTTTCATGGAACGGCACTGCCCTCCAGTATTTGAGAGGAAAGAATGCTTAGTTCCACCTCCAGATGGCTACAAGCTACCAATCAGATGGCCAAATAGCAGGGACGAATGTTGGTACAGGTAAATAGTTGACAGCTTGATGCCTAAGACCTATGTACAGTCAAAAGTTTCCAGTTAAGTCTCAATTATTTTTTTTCCCTAAAAAGAGTTAAAAGTTTCCCTGAATTTACCATGTGGATTTGGTTTCAGGAATGTGCCATATGATTGGATTAACAAACAGAAGTCCAATCAGAATTGGCTGAGAAAAGAAGGGGAGAAGTTTTTCTTTCCTGGTGGGGGAACTATGTTTCCTAGAGGCGTTTCTGCATATGTCGATTTGATGCAAGATCTTATTCCAGAAATGAAAGATGGGACTGTTCGAACTGCCATTGATACTGGGTGTGGAGTGAGTCCATCTTTCATCCTCTTTTACGTTTTCCCGATTTATCATGTTCAAATTTAGCTGAAAATTTCTGGTGAGTGAAAGCATGTTGCCTTTTTGATACTAGTAAAATGCTAGTTTAAATTTCATCTGCACCTTTCTTTCCTTATTTCATGATTGAAATTTATTTACTAATGTAATAATCTATTTCCTTATTGTGCTTGAAGCAGCACAAACTGCTAAGTAAAGTTGTGAGAATCTACAGAAGTTAACCTCCTTAATTGTTTAATTTCTAGGTTGCAAGTTGGGGAGGTGATTTGTTAGATCGTGGGATTTTAACTGTTTCTCTCGCCCCAAGAGATAATCATGAAGCTCAGGTTCAGTTTGCTCTGGAGCGTGGAATTCCTGCCATTCTTGGCATCATTTCTACACAGAGACTTCCTTTCCCTTCAAACTCATTTGATATGGCTCACTGCTCAAGATGCCTCATCCCATGGACGGAATTTGGTATTTCTTCTATGAAATTGTTTAAAAAATCTTTCAGTTCTAAAGAATATAATGCATTTTATAGAGCTTAATGTCCAGCTGCTGGAACCAGTTTTCAAATTAGCAATAGCATAGTACCAACTTTAGGAACTTGGAGATTTTTTTTTTCCATAAGTACGGTAGAAATGTTAAATAGCACCAACTTTAGACAATTTGCATCCACCAAATTCCTATTTTCCTGTTATCATTTTTAGGGAAAATTTCCACGGTTCAGCTGTGAACTGTAATTTATTGCATAAGATAGGAACTTCTTTTGTAGGATATCATATAATCAAAAATGCTTTCTTCTCCTTTCTTCTCCTTCTCTCATCTCGTTTATCACTTTTATTTATCTTTTAAAGTTTGGGGGTAGGTGGTGGTGTTACCAGTTGTGCTAATGGCTAGTGTCCTGCTGTCAGGTGGAATTTACCTTCTAGAAATTCATCGTATACTCCGTCCTGGAGGTTTTTGGGTCCTGTCTGGTCCACCTGTCAACTACGAAAACCACTGGCGTGGGTGGAACACAACCATAGAAGAGCAGAAATCAGATTATGAAAAGTTGCAAGAACTGCTAACTTCACTGTGCTTTAAATTGTACAACAAGAAGGATGATATTGCTGTTTGGCAGAAACAGTCAGACAGCAGTTGCTACAATAAACTTTCTGAGCCTGACACCTATCCTGCAAAATGTGATGATAGCCTCGAACCAGATTCAGGATGGTACACTCCATTACGCTCTTGTGTTGTAGTTCCAGACCCAAAGCTAAAAAAGTCAGCTTTGAAAGCCATCCCTCGATGGCCAGAGCGGTTGCATGTTGCACCAGAGCGTATATCTGATGTGCATGGTGGGAGTGCTAGTGCTTTCAAGCATGATGACAGAAATTGGAGGGTTCGAATGAAGCATTACAAAAAGTTGCTCCCGGCAATTGGAACAGATAAGATCAGAAATGTTATGGACATGAATACAGCATATGGTGGTTTTGCCGCAGCCACGATTGAATATCCCTTGTGGGTCATGAATGTCGTCTCTTCCTATGCTGCAAATACATTACCTGTGGTCTATGATCGAGGCCTTATCGGAACTTTCCATGATTGGTAATTTGAAATTCATTTATATGGGCATTAAAGCTTTGATCTGCATAAATAGCATACTTTGGGTGCACCTCTCATTTTGGTCATTGTTATAAAATCTTGTGGTTTTTGTGTTGATTTATTTGTTCTCTTTTGGCAGGTGTGAAGCTTTTTCTACTTATCCTCGAACTTATGATCTTCTACATCTTGATGGCTTCTTTACTGCCGAAAGCCACAGGTAAAAAATGGGCTTGTCTTTATTTGGGCACATGAAATATATTTTGAAAACTTTTGTTAATTCGGCATATTGAATTAACTACTTAATCTTGGATGTTAAGTTTTTATGCACTCTTGCCTAATTCAACATAGGAAGTACACACACACGCAGAGTTGGTAATCAACTTTGTAAATGGTTCTAATAATAGTAAACTTGGGCAGATGCGAAATGAAATATGTGCTCTTAGAGATGGACCGAATCCTGCGACCTAATGGCTATGCAATAGTTCGAGAATCCAGCTACTTAGTGGATGCTGTTGCGGCTATTGCCAAAGGGATGAGATGGGGATGCCGCAAAGAAAATACTGAGTATGGCATTGAGAAGGAGAAAATATTGATATGCCAGAAAAAACTCTGGTATTCATCGAATCAAACTTCCAGATGATGAACACAGAAACCCAAACGAAGCTGATTTCTTGGAAGGACGGAAATAGGAATAGAAGCAAAAGAAGCAAGTTCAATACCATTCACAGAGAATTAGTTCATTCTATAAGAAGCCGAGAATATTCAAATTTGTCATTGAAGACTCGGTTACCCAATAAGGTAGTCAATCAACCACAAGGGCTTTGCGTATAGATATATTCTTTATAAGGCGTCTACATGCACTTGGTACAATTCATCTTTCATCTTTTCCCTTTTCCCATTTTTCTTAATTTGTTGTCTTTTTTGCGTCAAGCTGTAATCGGATGATTTGAATACGTGCAAGGTGTGTGTGTACCAAAAAAACAAGGAAAAGAAAAAGAAACAAAGGATTCTTCGTTTCTTAAATGAAATCTGCTGCATCTGTTGAACTGTAGTTTGTTTGTTATTGGTGCTTACTGGTTCAAGTGAAGGAAACAAAGGATGCTTATGTTGGCTTTTGGGCTTAGTAAGAAGAAGCTCTCTCTCTCTCTCTATTGTTTGTAATTGACACTTGTAGATTTCATAGGGGGTTTGTAGACTGATTTCTACGTTTCCATGTTTTTGTTGTTTGGTTAATGAGCTTGTTGGTGAATGCGTTCTAGCTTGTGATTTCATGTTGTGAAACATATATATGGGCAGACCTTGACTAGTTACACCAACTTGTCAATCAAGTTTAATTCTTGAAAATGTGCTTTATATCTGACACAAAGTACTGGTTTGGTACCGAGGTGCTTTTATAAAAGAGAAACCTCAACTACAACAGAAGAGAGAGAATCAAGTTTTATTCTGGTGTCGACTAGTTTCTCTGTCTAGTTTTTCTTTTTTCCTGCTTGAAAATAAAAAGACCAATATCAACTTCCCGGAAGATATGCTTCCACTTAACACAGATGGAAGTTTCATCGAATATCATCAATATTTGGTCTCAATCTTCAGGAAATAGCGCAAGTGTATAGAACATCATCAATAACTAGCTTAGAATCTCCCTCTACGCAAATATTATAAAGCCCCTCTGCTGAGAAAATTTCAAAGCATCACTCAAAGTTAAAGCTTCCGCTATTGGGATAGTGTTATTTCCCAAGTTTCTAGTCTTCTGTGCAAACTTTTTTTGTTATTCTCAGGATATTATGTTTGATATCAGTTTTATGTTAAATAAGAAAAATCCAAAATACTAAAAAATATGACTCTCAAATATATAATGGGGAGGTTTTTTTTTTTTTTTTTTTTTTTCTCAAATGATATATTTGTTAGATTCAAACGTGATGCAAATAACATTCAATTCCACCACGGTAATACCTTTCAGTGGATAAAATGGGCACAGGAAAAAGTCAAAACTTAAAATAACAAAAAAGGAATTCTAAAGTAAACTCATTTGAAAAAAAAGGTACAACAAATAAAGGAAAAATCTAACCTAAAATATATCGATGTACTAAAAAAAAAAAAATTATTTGTTAAATTTGAACTTACAGCGTGATGCAAAAATAACACTCAATTCCACCACAATGATACCTTTCAGTGGATAAAATGGGCACAGGAAAAAAAAAGGTACAACAAATAAAGGAAAAATCTAACCCTTAATGTACAAATATATCGATGTATTTAAAAAAAAAAAAAAAAAAAATCCAACCCACCAAACAATTAGCTAAAAAAAGAACGACGACCCAAAAAAGATCAAGCACTCGATAAAAGGACAAGAATATCCCTTGCCTCCGTGAGAACGTGTAGTTAGGTAAATTCCTTGGTTGGCACGAAGGCTTTCATTCTCTCTCATCGCGCTCTCTCTCTCTCTCTCTCATTTCTCTATGTGGCAGCATATCAGAATTCGGTGGGTTTAAACGAAGTCGGTTTGACATAAAAGAAACTCTGGATTCCACCCCCTCCCGTCCTAGGCGACGGTTGTTATGCCGCTTGGCTTTCAGGTTCGATTCCTTTTCTCCCGATCTGATCCCCTATAATTTTTTTGCCCTTCTTGTTGTTTAGATTTATTTCTGAATTTGATTTGTTTTGTAATTGATTTTATTCTGTTTGTTTTGGATATTTTGGTTTTGTTCCTTGTTGATTGTATCGCGATTTTATTCGATTTATGTTTTGGGATTTTGGGATTTTAGGATTATGGTTAGCTTTTTAACGCAATCGGCTGGATGTGATTCTTCGATTTCGGTTTGAAGTATGTTTGGTTGCTGAGAAATTCTGGGAAATGAAGGGGGTTCAGAGTTTGACTATTTTGGGGCTTTATTTTTGTAGGGTTTTCATCCTCTGGGTTATTAAGGTATGGTGATTTTTTTTCTGATTGGATTATGTAACAGAGATATATCGCGGCTTACATTGGTTTTTATTTTTGTTAATCTTAACTCCAATTGGTAATTTGAGGCTTTTTATTTATTTGTTCGTAAATTTTCATTGGTTGTATTTTGTTTGTGTTCTCTTATATAAATTGCTAATGTTATTGATCACTCGTGTTATAGCATTAGCTAAAAGTGTATCGTGGCTAAAACTGTAATTTGCTGCACCTCAAAGTTAACCGCTACAATTTTTTCTGTAGACTTGTTTCTGGTTATGGTTTTTCTTCCTACCTTTCCTACATTCCAATTTTGTGCCAAAGGTCATTTGGTGGCTTAGAAGTTATACAAATTATTGTTGAAATTCATGACCGTGTCATGGGGGTCTATGTACTTTGTCCCTGATGTTCCTTTGTGACTTTAGGTTATCCTGTTACCAAATTTGTGATTTTGCAGCATGTGGCTTAGGATTGGAAATCATTGTTGGCCTGGGTATGCATATCAACAATGAAATAGGAAAGAATCTGTACATCACATTTAAGTTTTGTAGTAATTTATTTATATGATACATCATACAGCTTAAGTGCCTTAAAGTTTGTTGTATGTTGTCGTTGTGTGGTTTGTGGTATTTATTTGTCTGAACTTGGTTCTGAAATGTGCTGGAAGTTTTGTATTTTTATGTGAGAGCTATTAAGAAGCTGTGTTAATGATTAAATGTTATCTTGTGATAGTATTTGGATTTGCATCATTATTTGCCATATTATGTGAGATTTAGTTTAACCTGCCATTAAAATCAGTAAATTGTTACTTTGTATCTTTGTCTGCATGATTTTCTGATGTTCTTTCAATGCATTAATGTATTTTAATCTTAATTTCAGGTTGGGCTGGGCTTAGATTTAAAGGGATTTCATATATATTTCAAGACATGGAGCAAATGCGCTTCTGGTCAAATTGCCACCAGTACCGGGTCTTTTCTTTCCAGGAAGTGCTTGACTGGAGATTTCTTGTCCTTGGAGATTTTTTTCTGGTTTCTTTTGTTAATTGCACTTAGTGGTCAGTTTCTCTCAAATGATCAATACGGGAGACGTGATGCTTGTTACTTCTGAGTCAGGTGTTGGATCTTTAGTGCATAGCTCATTGCTGATACAACATCCAGTTGAAATTTCTGGGAAAACTTCATCAGGGGTACAACATATACAACTCAGTTTTATACTTATACCTTTTTATTCGATGCCTGCTAAGTATTCCTAAACTTTATTCTTTGATTATTATGACAGGGTTAAATTCTGGCAATCTGTGACTGAAGAGAAGATCTCTACATAGTTATTATTAGATAATCAGTTACGTCAAACCAAACCAGTGCAAACTGTTTATGTCAAAGTTATTATTTCATCGTTGCTCTTGGTGGGTGCTATGATAAGTGGCAAGATATTGGTTACCTGAAGATTCCACACTGATCTCTGCGTAATTTAGATGAGATAGCTATTAGTTAAGTTTATTAAGCCTTGGGTGACACTATCTTGAGCTAGAAGTCTTTCTTTTGGCGGGATAAATCAGTCTGGTTGGATTTTTAACATCGATATGTTCGGTGATCTTTGTCCTTTTTTGCCATTAATGTCATGCTGTAGTCCCGATGCCCTGGAGTTAGTAATGAATAAGGCCGTGCAGCCTATCCATCATAAGAATTGTGGTTTTGTGCTCGTGCATGTTGCCTCAGAAGATTGATGGTTTGATTCAGCTCGACCAGCAAGGCAGTTGTTGATATCATACAGTGTATTTTAAGGATCATCTTCAGAAGATAAATTCCATTTATCTTGAGTCTTTATGCTTTCACTGAATAAAGAACGAGCTGCTTTGTGTTCCACAGGAAGAATGGAGAGGTGAGTGTTTACTGGGGAGTTTAGGTTTATCTGTTTGTATTCATACTAATAAATAAGTATGTGGTTACTCTAGGTACAAGTTAATAAAGGAAGTTGGTGATGGCACATTTGGGACTGTCTGGCAAGCTATTAATAAGCAAACTGGTGAAGTCGTAAGTGTTTTTTTTTTCCGTTTCCCATTCCCTTTGGAATGTATTTTGTGCTTTAGATTTTGTTCTGTTCATAATCAGTTGGACAATTTACAGGTTGCAATTAAAAAAATGAAGAAAAGTTATTTTTCATGGGAGGAGTGCGTAAGTCTACGGGAAGTGAAGGTGGTTCAATGTACTACCTCCTCTTTATTAATATCCTGATATGATTTATACTTTTTAATTATGTCATTTTTTCTGCATGCAGTCATTGCGTAGAATGAATCATCCAAATATTGTGAAGCTCAAGGAAGTCATCAGAGAAAATGACATGTTGTACTTCGTGTTTGAATACATGGTAAGTGGTATGGTTGGCAAACTTGATATTATTTGCTATGATGCCATTGATAAGAGTCTTTGTTGATATTCTGTGTTGTCATATGTACATTGCAGGAGTTCAACCTGTATCAACTTATGAAAGATAAGGAAAAGCTTTTCCCTGAAGCTGAAGTCAGAAATTGGTGTTTTCAAGTTTTCCAAGGCCTTGCTTACATGCATCAGCGTGGATATTTTCATCGAGACCTTAAGCCAGGTAACTGTTACAATTATTATGGATAACCTCGGTTGAGTAGGTAAAATGTTCAAAGAGAAGTAGAAGGGCTGAATAAAAATTTGGAGAAGTGAAGGTATACATGATATTCAGAATGCCAATAGTGTTATATACTTTGATTTGTTTGTCTTTTTTTCGGTCTGTCTTCACTCATTGCTGCTTGCATGCCCTTGCTATACTTTCTTGCATTTGTGTATAGTTTTCTTTTTCTTTTTTTTTCCTCTCGTATTCTGAATCCCCATGTGGCAAACTCTTCTTAAATTTTATTTTTACTTTTTTCGTGTGGTTATTTTCTTTCCTCAATCAATTTCTTTGCATTCATGGTTTGTGATTAAGTCGTTCAGGCTGTCACCTGTTGTGTTTGATTTTTCTTCTGCTATCAGACTGACATAATTGTACCTATACGTTCACTCCTTTCCAGAGAACTTATTGGTTACCAAAGATGTCATCAAAATTGCTGATTTTGGACTTGCTCGGGAAATCAATTCACAACCACCATATACAGAATACGTGTCCACACGGTGGTGGGTGTTAATTTAATTTTTCTTACAGTTTTGGTAATAAGTTATCTCTGCTTGGGTGTTAATATGTTGCTGTAAGTTACTGACTCTAGAATGTGGGTGTGCTAGGTATCGAGCGCCCGAAGTGCTGCTTCAGTCGTACCTGTATAGCTCAAAAGTTGGTGAGTTTTTATGTTTAA